TTGCCTAAAGTGTCACGAAAGTGGTGTGGTTCCAATCTGCTATATTTTAAGTAGACCTAATGTGTACTTTTTACAAAAGTATACCCGAAAGTGTCATTTGGATAAACTCATTTCTAAGCGGGATTACGTCAATTTGCGGCCCAAAATGCCGTTGATTCAACGTCATTTTGGTCCGCAATAAATCCAATGTGAACGTCGATTCGATATTGCATTTCTGACTGGGAAATGTATCGTGCACGCACAAACATTTTTTTCACAGTAGAGGGTGAGTTAAACAGCGTACGGACCAAACATTGTGCTACAAGAGGGCTTCACAACGTTCAGCGCAATTTTAATCCCCTTGAATTGTTGCTAATTATTTACTGTCTAATCTGGATGTGCACTAATACCTTCCATTCCAAGGAACACAACTGTCCCTTTGCATTTAGAGTGTAGACTGAGTTGTTTTCCTTGGCGAACCGCGACATAACGAACACAACTTCTACAGAAAGGGCGGAGATGTACTTCGATAGCACAGAGTGGGTGTCATCGGCCACGCGAAAAGAGCTTCAATTGTTTTGAGTTCAAACGGGGTTCAAAACTGGTCTAGATTTTAGTGATATTTAATACGTTACAAAAACCACCAAGTTACATGACACCACTTCCACAACGAGGCTCTCCGAAGGTGCAGCGCATTGCCTATCTCTCATACACGGTGAGATCGACGGCTTGATCTCGCTCGCGGCACTGTCTACAGTCGGTTCCGCCTATCACTCGGATTCCCGCTGTAGCGCTTGTGACCCGTAGCGGTTGTGAGCTGTAGTGCTTATGACCCGTAGCGCTTGCGACCTGTAGCGGTCGTGAGCTGTAGCGCTTGTAGCGCTTGCGAACCGTAGCGCCCACCGCTGTAGCGCTTGTGACCCGTAGCGCCTGCGATCTGTAGCGCTTGTGACCTACGTCGCAATTACCCAACGTGAGAAACAAGGTAAATATGATCATACATGATCATAACAGCTCAGTAAAAGTCATGTTTAATTTCCTTTCATTAATCTCATTTCTAAATCACATTTTGAGAAAAATATATTCTTTTGTAACACGGTAAAAACGAAGTCCCATTTTTTGAGGGAAAAGGGAAAACTTTGAGGAAGTCAGTAACTTTGAGGGATCTTTCTTGAAAAATAAGAACGACCCTCAAAGTAAGCCTCAAATTTTGAGGAAGTCCCTCAAAGTTAGCGTGGCTGCTGCTGTGCCCACCTCGCTACTTTAGACCTTAGTAACAACTGATAAAATTGTCAGTTGGTCAAATTTAATGTGTTTCTCTTAGTTTTAGAGCTGCGGAACTCGTCCTGCAAAGTTTGATGTGTGTGCAATGAGAAGAAATGAAATTGATTTTTTGAATGATTTACGTGTACAAGTACGTCTGTAAGCACGTAAACCAGTCAAAAAATCTGTTTCGTTTTTTTCTCATCGTACACACATCAAACTTCACTGTTAGAAATTCCGTAGGCTAATTACGGAATTCTTACGGAACTCACCGTAAATTCCAACTACGGTACCAAACCGTAACGGGATGACTGTATTTTAAAGATACGGACTTATCCGTATTTCAAATAACGGTGCATCCCGTACATTTTCCGCGTCAAATTAAATATTAAATAATTTTTGAAACAAAAAGTTTAAACAATTGAGCTGTCCATAGAGATTAATGTTGTTGCCTCTTTCGCAAAACCATAACTGTACGCTCTCATATCTCTCAAAATCCAATTCTTCGACTTACAGTGCAATTTATCATTTTTCCTAATCAATAAGTCAAAATTTTACGAAAAAGATTACGGTTTATCAGTAACTTAAGAATACGGTTTTCCGTATGGTTTCCGTAGAAAATACGGAAAAATTACGGTACATTCCGTGAAAAAAATTTCTTGACAATTCCGTTCAAAATTCCGTGGAAATTTCTAACAGTGATTTGCAGGACGAGTTCCGCAGCTCTAAAACTAAGAGAAACACATAAAATTTGACCAACTGACAATTTGATCAGTTGTTACAAAGCTCTAAAGTAGCGAGGTGGGCGCAGCAGCAGCCACCCTAACTTTGAGGGACTTCCTCAAAATTTGTGACTTACTTTGAGGGTCGTTCTTATTTTTCAAGAAAGATCCCTCAAAGTTACTGACTCCCTCGAAGTTTTCCCTTTTCCCTCAAAAAATGGGACTTCGTTTTTACCGTGAACAATGTAGTTCTGGAACAATTTTGGGTCGTTAATATACGACAAATGTCGCCCTGGAACGACTTTGGATCGTTAATAAACGACAAATGCTGTTCCATAACAACTAAAGTCGTAAAATTACGACTCAAGACCAGGCTCCCTCGGCTAGAGTAACATACGTCATTTTTGTTGTTAATTAACGATTAAGATTATTTTACAAAAAAGTCGTTACAAGAATGTCGTTAAATTACAACACCTGTCGCTAACAAACTTAACCCCCAAAATGTCGTAAAATTACAACCAAATTTTTAACAGTGCAGTATTCGGTATTTAGGATTCAGTATTCGATCATCGGCAATAATCGACAATCGCGTCAACTTTCGGTAATCGTCAAAATCTCCACCAATTATCGATTCCCACAATCAAACCTTGACAATCGAGACGTCGATTTAAAAAAAATCGATTCGATTATTCGATTTAACGAAAAATCGCACAGGCACCCGACCCCGAAACGGATCGCATTTGAAGTTGGGAACTCAAAGCGGCCGCCGCCAGAGGGCCCCCAATGTTGATCCAGCGATACGCGATACTGGCGCGCCTACGAGCGACGGGGCGAGGGGGACATCACTTGCGTACTACCTCGTACAGTAGGCGCTCGCTATAGTTCCGCCTTGGGTTCAGAATTGGAGTGGGTGAGTGGGGTCGCCAGAGGCGGAACTATAGCGAGCGTCTTCCCCCACTCCTTCTCTACCGCTC